AGTTTGCAGGTGAGGCAATTCGGCCATGCATCTCTTTTCCCCGCCAAGAGACTTCATAAATCGCAGCGCTGTCCGAGGAATGGAAATTTTGCTAATGTGTGTGTGTGGGGGGGGGGCTAAAGGAGGGCAGTTAAATTCGGAATTCTAATTGTTCCATCCTTAAATAGCAGTCCATGCAGGAGTGTTCAACTTACACAATTGCTGTTGGTTTGGTTCTGTGCTTCAATTGGCATGGCTACTGGGAGTGGGAGTGGGGACTTCTTTGTATAGATTTCTACCCCCTTCTTTTATTTTTTGTTGTAAATGTTTTACGGCGCTCGTAACTGCGGTTATATGAGCGCGCGGGACACATTAAACATTTTCAGTTGGTAGGAAATTTTGAAAGTTGCCGGGTGGCGGTCGAAGCCTACTCTTGTCGATTTTGGACTACATGGGATCTTTAACGTGTGCAACTTGCACACAGAACCTCCGAAATTGTTCGCTCTTATTCAAGAAGGCAAGGCGTTAGATCTTACCTACCATAAGGAGCCAGGGAGTAGTAATAGAAATTAAGGCTGCAAAAAGAGTGGATCATGCATGCAGGAGCCCAGAGGATGGGGCAAAAGAGGTGAGGGGGTGGGAGCAGACAGTGGAGACGAAAGCAGACGACAGAACATTGTTAGAGAGCAGGAAAGGATGTGAAAGGAAAAAATTTTAGAGATGTAATTTTCCGTCGCTATCCGGATTCGAACACAGGACCTATTGAATGAGGCCTAGGCCTACCGGTGATCAGAAGAAAGGTACCATTTTTTTAATTGCGTAAAAAAAATCTACATTTTTTTTTTAAGTCGTCATGTTTTTCTTTCCACGTGAGTATGTTGACGTTGAATGTCCTGGCAAGAGCAGAACCGCGCAGAGTATGCCCAGAGAGGGTTTACATGCTTGTCTGCGATCAACGAAAATGCCTTGAACAATGGACGCAGTTTGTTTTGTTTACCGCGCGTTTCTCCACGATCAGCTGGTGACCCAGATACGCGCATCCGGGCGAAGTGCCGTCTCTCTAGTATTACTGTAAACTCTCTGGTATGCCGATGGCTTGACGTTTTTCTCATGAGTTAGACCCACCATCATTCTTTGGTGACAATTATTATTCTCAGAATATATGTTATTGCGTACATGTGCTTTAAAAAAACTAAACATTTTTTGTCAATAAAGATAGGAAAATATCCGCCATATTTTCGAGAAATATAAGTGCTAAATTTCTGTTTTTAATTTTGTTCATGTTATGAGCACTAAGCTTAATTGAAGCACCAAAATGTTATTTTTTAAATAGCATGGTCTACTCTTTAGTATCACTCACGTGGAATGAAAAGCGTAAAGACTCAAAGAGATATACATTTTGACTTTTTACACAAATCGAAATTGGGTACATTTCTTTTGATCGCCAGAAGGTCTATATAATTTTTGTTTTCACATCCCTTATCAAATGGCATTTAGGATTAGATGACTTTATAGGTTATTATAAGTCTATAAGGGATTGGCCGCTAATCATGTGCACCAACTGCAGATTGCAAAACATAGGCGTAATCATTGATAAACATAAGTTGTCCCAATTCTCGAGTCACACAATTTAATCCTTACAGTAAACATACGAGTGTGGGCGGTTGGCGGGTGCTCTGGTGTGGTTTGCTCACAGAATTCTACACTTAAGTGTAGAATTCTGTGGGTTTGCTTCTTCTTTCCTATTAAACATCTATTGTCCTTATCTCCCCTTCTTCTTTTTTATGTTTGTTACTCTCTTGTAACACCTCTAATCTTCTGGCGCTCATATGACCTTATGCAGTTGCGAGCACCGTAAAAACTCTACTAAAACTAAAACATACGAGTGCAGTCTTACATATATCCCAGCTTCCCAGCTTCCCAGCTTTGTGCAGTATCCTTCCACGTCCCATTTTGTCCTCTGCTCACAAAAGGGGGGGGGGGGGCATACGATTAACACAGATAAGTGAAAGTATATCACTGGTACCACTTCTTGGAACGGTAGACGTGTATACTTTTTAATAAATCTTAAATTGCCCCCCTTTTTTTACATTCATAGGAATATTATGAGACCTAACTACGCGTAGGCCTAGTACTCATTTAACACTATGCACTCCTAAATTTTAGTTTGTCTTTTGCACAGAGTATAATAATAAGATCTAGCAAAATCAAGTCTTCATTTGGCACTCGTCTCTCTCTCTCTCTCTCTCTCTCTCTCTCTCTCTCTCTCTCTCTCTCTCTCTCTCTCTCTCTCTCTCTCTCTCTCTCTCTCTCTCTCTCTCTCTTTCTCTCTCTCTCTCTCTCTCTCTCTCTCTCTCTCTCTCTCTCTCTGTATACATATATGTATATATATATATATATATATATATATATATATATATATATATATATATATATAAAATACACAAACACACACACACACACACACACACACACACACACACACACACACACACACACACACACACACTCCCTCCCAGGTCCTGATATCATAGTGATATGTCCTCCAGATGCTCATTTTGGATGTTACAATTCCGGAACTGACATGTTAAGAAAAGTTTCCACGTGCTGGCAGAAGAATGGTCTCCATATATCATTCAACCAGGCAGGGGCGGCTCATGGGCTAAAAAGTGGGCGTGCACAATTAAGACATTAAGCAATAGCAGGTTGAAGATAGTCATGGGCATAGTGAATGGGGCGGTATGATCTTTGGGTTGGTGAAGGAGGACCTTCTGCTTTTATTTTAATTCTTTTCACTTGTAGATTTGATTTCTTTACTTGTAGCTTTGATTTCTTGAACTAAATCTGTTTGTTAGCTACGCATCAATTTCTTCATCCGGCATTAGAACTGAACACTCAAGTAATAACTTTTACCACTCCACTACAAAACCATTCGAAGGCACAACTCATAGGACGGTGACGTTTAAGTACGTCACGTTTACCCCTCATGTTCACGGTCACAGAGTCACTTTTTGGGGGTGATTGCTCTGGGGATCAAATAATCTATCGTGTTTATTTTTAGACTGCCTACTGTGGGCTATGTTTCGTGGGTACACTTTTGAGATGTGCAGTCTTATTAATATTACTGTACTGACAATTAAACTCACTACGAGTGTCGACATCCCCTGGGTTATCCCAAAGAGCGATTTATAGATCAGGTTGCTACTGTTGAACCTCCCTTTTTAAAAAAAAGAAGTTTTTTTTACTTCATAAGGTCATAGTCATATGACCGTGCGGGACACATTTAACATTTTTCAGTTAGTAGGAAATTTTGAATTTTGCCCAGGTGGCGGCTGAATCCTGCTCTTATCGATTTTAGACCACCAAGGGATCTTTAACATGCACAACTTGCACACGGGACCTCCGAGACTTTTTGCCCTTGTCCGAGAAGGCTAGTAGATCTTTGCAGAAGACTAGGGGTGTGGGTCCGAGAAGGCTCGTAGATCTTTGCAGAAGACTAGGGGTGTGGGTCCGAGAAGGCTAGTAGATCTTTGCAGAAGACTAGGGGTGTGGGTCCGAGAAGGCTAGTAGATCTTTGCAGAAGACTAGGGGTGTGGGTCCGAGAAGGCTAGTAGATCTTTGCAGAAGACTATAGGGATGTGGCTGAAGGACAGCAGCTAGTAAGAGGGATTAACCAAGGAGTAGCAGAAGAAAGGCTGCGGAAAGAGTCAGGAGCCCAGAGGAGGGGGCAAAGGAGGTGAAGGGGTGGGGGCAGAAACCGGAGACGAAAGCAGACGACAGTACGTGTACATTGCTGGAAAGCAGAAAAGGAGGTGAAAGGAGACAATTTTAGCGAAGAAAATTTGTTGGTCGCTACCCGGATTCGAACGCGGGACCTTAGAGTGAGAGGCGAATATCTCAACCTCTGGGCCACGAGAGCCACCCTATTATGTTTAGTTAAAGCACGTGGATTTTGGCAGGGCATAGTAGATGTTTTACGACGCTTTTGACACAGACATGACAGTAACGGCGCCAGCAATAGAATCTTGTTTTGATATTATATTTGGTTAGTAGGGGCCTATATTTGTTCCTGGCTTCTTTTATTTCATGTTTGTGGGTCCTTTTCGTAATAGCATATTTTAAAAAATTAAAAATCTTAGGCGGCACTGCACGACCGTGTTCTACGGACGAACCGCGCCCGCATTCAACCCTACATCTTATGAAAGAAAGGGCTTTTCATTTACTATATCAAAACGTCAGACCAACAAGCCCCCAAAGAGGTCGTTGGTCTATGTTACTTTTGCATCAGACATGGGAACAATTAAGGTCTCTTTTTCCTGTAGTTCTCAGATTGTCGGGACGTTTTCAAGGTCGTGCTGACTTGGTTTGTCGTACAAGTGTAAGTATACGTGTGCCCCCCCCCCCCCCCCCCCAGAGAGAGAGAGAGAGAGAGAGAGAGAGAGAGAGAGAGAGAGAGAGAGAGAGAGAGAGAGAGAGAGAGAAAGAGAAAGAGAAAGAGAGAGAGAGAGAGAGAGAGAGAGAGAGAGAGAGAAAGAGAAAGAGAGAGAGAGAGAGAGAGAGAGTAAAGACGAGAAGAGAGAAAAGGAAAAAAATAAGGAGAGAGAGAGACAGAGACGAGAAAGAGTTTTTAGGGCTTAATGGAACAACAGTGGCAAAACTAAATAGGATGCCCCAGAAAGCTAGGGAGAGCTACTCTGTTTAAAAAAAAAAAAAAAAAAAAAAAAATCTCAAGAAATCTCATCTTATTCAATATCATTAGTATTATTGGCTCAGTTGATCTGATTGTACACACTCACATCTTGTTTTTAATATTTTAAACTCATTAGTTATTGTTGCTGTTGTTGTTGTTGTTGTTGTTGTTGTTGTTGTTGTTGTTGTTGTTGCTAAATGTTATTCATTTTTTTCCGTGTAGGGAGTACATCACAATTTTGGCCTTCTTACTTTTAGTCTGCAAAGCAGAAAAACTGCTGGCTTGAAATCCCGTCAGGGATATGCCGATTAAGCTAACAAAGCTACTTCCTTTTATGAAACTTCCGGCCGAAGGTACGATCACAATACTCGCTCTTGGTCCAAAACAATTTATTTTAAATCAGTTTGAATCTGCATTAATCTTGATTTTGAACGCTAACGGTATTTAGAATTAATAATTAATACTTGTTGTCATTCAATGTTTTATAATGATGACGAGTCTATTGTTGCTTACACTCAAATGTTGTTCAGTAAATAGACGTGCACGAAAATGATCATCCGTCGCACCAGTTGGTTGGGTTCCTCGTAGCAAGTTGAGCTATTTGTTAGTTTTTATCTCTGTCGATGCGTGTTCTTTTCTATGGAATAGAATTGGGGTTGGCTTGAACAGGATTAGAATTACGCTTGGGTAATGGATTGATTCGTGTTTCATTTGATGTTGCATGAATTTAATAGTTTGATGGAAATGGGTCGGAAGAAGCAGTCTGCTGCGAGTTGTGAGAGAGCATTTGTAACTGAAAAGTAACAAGTTTTTCTGACTTCCGTAACGAGTGACCACCCCATCAAACACAATAAAGAAGAAGCCTAACCCAAACCTTATAGATCTAGGCCTAGTCAACTGGCGAGGGAAGCCCTGTAAAACGACGAAAATTGAGATATAGCGGAAGGTAAATACATCATCTTAAATTTGGGCCAATCACATAGGACAGGTGTGCTAGGTGCTCGCTGCAGCTTTGTGATGTGTTTAGATCTAGATTCTAGATCTAAATCTAGTCTAGATTTAGATCCTCAATGCACTGCTTTGGAGAGCTAAATTTGCTCAAACTGAGCACCATATTTATGGGGGGACTTTCGTAAGGCCACCTCTATTCTCACCCGGGGTGAGAATAGTGCAGGCGGGTCTTGTGGCTATTCTCACCCGGTGCGCGTGTCAACAAATTTTGCGTTCACCCTAAACCACAGAATTCTACACTGTGATAAGAGAAAAATTGTAGAATTCTGTGCTGTGAACAAACGTTCCATTACAACTGTACTTGTAGCCTACTAAAAGCGTACAATTTTGTCTGTGGGCAGGGGAGTGAGAGAGAGAACAAAACAAAATGGCGACCCGCGTAGTTCGGCTCGATTCGAAAAGTTAAATAGCCGTAGCATCTTTGTAGACAACCAAATTAATTTACTTTTGTGTTTTAACATCATTTTTTAACTTTGTTTTGGTCAATTTGATCGTCCACACCGATAGACAGTATTCAGAAAGAGAGAGAGAGAAGAGGGGAGGAGTAGATCTTGCGAGAACTTCCGGGCGGGTGAGAATAGCCACTTTCCTTTCGTAATGATCGACTTCTATGAGACCGTAGAATAGAGGGTAAGAACGATCTAGATCTAGGGACACTAGGGCAGGGTTAGGTCTCTTCTTTATATTGTGTTTGTTGGGGTGGTTGCTGTAAAAAAAAAACCCACCTTGTTCAGAGTACAAAGCTTTCATTTAAGCTTGCATTGTCATTGCTTTGTTTCAGGAAAATGGGCCGAGTAATTCGTTCACAGAGAAAGGGCCCTGGCTCTGTTTTCAAGGCCCACACTAAAAACAGGAAAGGAAAAGCAGCCTTGAGACCTGTTGACTTTGCTGAACGTCATGGATACATCAAAGGTGTTATCCGCGTAAGTTTCTCAGAGCAGTCTTCGTTTTTCAGGAATTCTATGGTTTCCACAGTTAAGTCAACTGATATTGCTACTGCTTTATTGGTGTTACAACTGTGGTAAAGCATTGCCTTAGACTTCAGTTGAGAGTATGATTGGTCGTTCTGATCAGTCTACTTTTCTAGAAGTCTATGGTGAGCCCGTGAGAGTAGACTTGTTCTTGCTGCAGAACACAGTCTTAGTTTTATGGGCAAACATTTTCTTCAAAGCTTTTCATATATCATCTATATCTATTTTTAGAAGCATATGAGCAATTGCCAAAACGTGAGACTCTTGAGACTCAGTGGTGCAAAAAAATGTTCTTACCAATTTGACTTCCTTTTCTGTCAGTGACAGATTGACATTTAGTTCTCATATTCCTAGAGTATCCGAGCAAGGAGATGTAGGGTTATGGAGATATGGGTCTATTGGTTTGGCGACCACTGTATTTCTTGTATCTAACAGTGATGACAAAAAACAGATAAGCAGCAAGACACAAAAGCTAAATCTATAATCACAGAAATGACCCATCTCTCGAAGTTTCACTCTTGTTCCAGGAATCCATTGTAAAAACAGCAATTTCACGAAAATATTCAACAATAGGGTGGCCTAAAAACACTAAAAAAACAGTCCAGTACGTCACATTCAACATAAGATTCTTGTGCGTCACCGGACGCTGACGGCAATGGCTACTTTTGTTTTTCTCTTTCCCCCATTGCTTCCGCTGTTCTGGGGAAGCGGGTAAGGGGAAGTCACTCAAGAAAACAATTATATCCGGGCACTGTTGATGATCCGTTAAAACAAAAGTAGGCTATAATTAGGACTTCCGGTATGTTGTAAAGTGACGCCAATCACGGCGATTGTTAAACAGCCGACGGAAATCGTAGATCTAGGAACCTGGTGTTCCTTTAGCGCATCACAGGTTTTGAAGTATTGAATAAACGACGAAAAGCAAATGATTTAACCAGCTACGGTGATTCTACTGAAAAATAATTGTGTTTTCTGAAACACCTAGTCCGTGCCGACACGACTGACGCACAAGTGATCCGAATTGTTTATTTGCAAACAAACTGATTTCTTGAGCAAGTGAACCTTTCTCTATGACAAATAGCATAGGATCAAAGCACACGTAAAAAAAACAACAACACCCAAAAGTACTAAATTTTGGACATTCTTGGAAGTTTGCATTGGTGTGCTCGAAATGACAGTCCAGGAATCACTAAAACATGAACATTTTTGGCACAAAATTTACAAACTCGAGATTGTAAAGCTGACATGGGGTCTGAAACTGCTAATGCAGGTTCTACTTTCTATATTTCACATGTGTATAAGTTTCGGAGGAATAAATAGTAATGCATCACATTTTATGCACACTAATGTGAGATGTGTGTGTTTTTCCCCACGTTTTGGCAATGGCTCATATTAGAATGTGAAATGTTGTCTTCATCAGACTTTTTTTTGTGATTGGAAGTGTATACAGACTCGGTAGTCGGGAACAGTCACAAAGTATACAGACCCTGTAACTGGGAACAAAGTCACGAAGTATACAGACCTGGATGGGGAAATCTTTTCTAATTTCAGAAAGTTTCAGCGCCCTCTTGGCTCAGGGCTAGACAAACAGACATAAATCATAGATCGAGCTTCGTGGCCTAGATCTAAAAGAAGATTGCGGATGTCTTTTCGATGAACGACCACTTTTCCTCCGTTTTCGAGTTGGAGGAATTACCCAAATTTGAAGAGAAGGTCATAATTTCTATCGAACAGTTTTTCTCTCTCTCTCTCTCTCTCTCTCTCTCTCTTTGTTTGTCTGTCTTTTTTTCTCCCCTACATACTTCTCTCTATCTTTCTCTTGTTCCTTCCTGTCAGCTGGGGCATGTGTATTTGCTAGCACTTCTCCCTGTTCTCTTCTCCCCCTCTCCCTCCCTCCCTCCCTCCCTCCCTGGTGTGGGTGCTGAAACTTTCCGAAACCACCAGATTTCCCCTACCAGGTCTGTATACTTCGTGACTTTGTTCCCGGTTACCATGCCTGTGTACACTTCGTTTGTGATTTTTTAATGCGAAAGGAGTCTTTCCTGTTCTAAACATTACCGATATGTAAATTTAGTGTTTGTGTGAATGTTTTTAGTTGTCATCCTGGTTTTGTGTTTTACCTTGTTTAAGCGTGGATTGTATGCTTGTATCCTGTAACAGTGTTGGGAGGTGGGCGTCTCACGGGGCTAAACTAGAAGTATGTTTTGCCTTTCAAATGTTAGGAAGTTTTTACCAAAAATCTATTTTGTTATGTTGAATTTTTCACCATTTTGAATGTATGTGGAATGGATCATATGGCTTTGAGTAAGTTTTTTTTCCATTGTATTATCTGAGGTCTTTTTTTTATCTCAGGATATAATCCATGACCCTGGTCGTGGTGCCCCCCTGGCCAAGGTTCAGTTCCGTGACCCTTACAGGTACCGTATGCGCAATGAGACATTCATTGCTGCTGAAGGCATGCACACCGGACAGTTCATTTACTGTGGGAAGAAAGGTATAAGTGACATTGTTTTAATTGTGTATTTTGTATTATCTTGTAACATCTTAGATGGTGCAACGGGGCTCTTGTGGTCTAGAGGCACAGTGTTCCTCTTATTCCGAAGGTCTATCTTTTTCCTGGTTCTTTTTTTTACCAATGCCTTTCAGATTCTTCTTCTCGATCACATGACACTTGAGGTACTGTATGTGTCATGTATTTGGCCGTCCCGCTCTGTTCATCCTGAATCTTTGGGTAGGCAAAAATTGAACACCTTGCCTTGTCTGATCGAGTAAGGGTGAAAAGTCTCGGGGGTGGGGGGGGTTGTCCGTGAACAAGTTGTCTAAAATCGATACTTGTAGGTTTCAAAATTTCTACCAGAACGGAAATACACTAATCAGCATAAAGACATGAATACCTTCGAGATTGGAATGTGGCAAGGGGTCCAAAATACAGAGTAGGAAAAGGCAACCACAGGTGGAGGAACCAGCAGTTGACTACCCTGAGTTCTAGCGGGGGAATGCAAAGAAAAAGAAAAGATATGGTGCCTCAATGTCCATTACATTGTGTTTAGAAGATGGATTTTTTTATTACCTTGTTCAGTGTTGCAAAGAGTTGGGGTCTGGGGGTAAATTTTCAATGTATGTCTTGCTAGTTAACAAATTGGACAAGCAAATATGGGCGGTTGTTTGATGTGCTGGTGTAGTTTATACCTCTTTACCTAACATGTATTGTAATTGTCTCCTTTTTTGTAGAGATGTTAACATCTCTAATCTTCGGCACTAATTGTGTTGCAAATGCCGTAACACTATCCACCCAGGCAACACTTATCCCCACGGACCAGGATATAGATGCAGTACATGCTATATCACACTGTCGCCGATCGACGTCCTGTGGGGAAAAGGGACAGCTTCTTACCATCGGCGTCCCGTGTATGCAAAGTGTTACTAAAACACACTAAAAAAAGAAAATGCTGGAATTTTAAAAGATGTTTGGGTTGTTTGACTCGGGTGACTTTCATGCTATTTAAATTTTTCCCCCAGTTTTTGTCTACACACTAGTTAATTGCATTTTTGCATTGAATTAAGCGGTTTATTTCTCAGATCAAATGTTCAAGATGGCGTATCTTATGTTACACTGTTTCTTGTATTGCTTTGATTGCCATGTCAAAGAGCTTTAATGTTTGTGCGGAGCCACTATTTCATGAATATTGAAATAGTATAGAAAGTAGTTTTTATTCCGATTAGTCTGGAATACTGTAATGTGATGCAGTAGCTCTTGATAGTCTTAGGAGTGACATTATGAAGTGGGTGTACAGGCTTTAGATTTAGGCTTAGATTCACAGCCCCGGTCGTCAATGGAAAGACCAGTGCCTGTGGTGTAGCAGTTAGACATATTTTGATGTCACATGCAGAGGACCTGAGTTAAATTTCCATGTAAGGAGAATTTTGATAAGAGAACGTCTCTTTGCTAGACCCTTAGCTTAATACGGCCTGGAGCAAGGCACATAGCCTAGCTTTTAAAATTACCCTGCACTAAAGTGACCAGTAACCTTATTTTTAGTTTTATCAATCCAGATTTTATTTGAATTATTTGTATTGATTTAATATTGTATTTTACACCTTTTTTTTTGTATGCTCCATTGTAAACTGAATGTCAGGTTTGTTTGTACTATAGTGTAAATTAGAATTCCTTCATGTTTTATAAATTTAAAACCAGGAACTTTCCACAGTTAAGTCAACTGATATTGCTTTTGCTGCTTTATCGGTGTTACTACTGTGGTAAATAAAGCCTTAGACTTTATTTGATAGTATGTTGGGTCGTTCTGATCTGACTGCTGGTCAAGAAGTCTCTGGTGAGCCTGTGAGAGTAGACTTGTTCTTGCTTGGTAGTCCGCAGTCTTAGTTTTACGGGCAAACACTTCTTTTATCTGTTAAAAAATGGTTTTTAGAGCTTTTTCCGTCACTTGTGCTTACTATACTGTGTGGTGTGTCTTTTCCAGCTGCTCTGCAGATTGGAAACATCCTTCCTGTGGGTGTGATGCCCGAGGGAACCATTGTCTGCTGCATTGAGGAGAAGACTGGTGACCGCGGCAAGATGGCCCGTACATCTGGCAACTACGCCACTGTCATTTCTCACAACCCAGACACAAGGAAGACCAGAGTGAAGCTGCCTTCTGGCACCAAGAAAGTCATGCCCTCTGCCAACCGTGCCATGATTGGTGAGTTTTATTTTTTTTTGTGTTCCAAGCTTTTTTCCCCTAAATTGGGGGCATGTGTTTATTAAGAGATGTGATCTGTATAGGGGACATGGCAGTAAGAAGTTGATCCTGTAGGTTTTGTCGAGCATTTGTTTAGGAAGTGATTAAGCGGTTTAATTTTATAGTCTGTGGGAATGTACATTTTTTGAAGGATTTACAACTACCTGAATATATGGTTCATGGGTTTCTGTCTTTTACTTTTCTTTCTTCCCCACCTTTTACTTTTGTTACCTTGCGAAAGTGAAGGGGAAAAAAAGAGTAAGCAAAGAACTGAAATTATTTTTTGTCTGTGTTCAGGCATCGTTGCTGGTGGTGGACGTATTGACAAGCCAATGTTGAAGGCTGGACGTGCTTATCACAAGTACAAGGCAAAGAGGAACTGCTGGCCTAAAGTCAGAGGTGTTGCTATGAACGTGAGTACTCTTATTTTTAATGTATATTACTTTGGGAGGGGGGGGGGGTTGCAGGCGACATTTTTGAGGATTGACAATTACTTTGTTGCCTTGGAGAATGTATCCAATGAAATATGAAAGCCATCTAACGACTGGTCTCATTTTTTATTAGACCTAAAAGCTGCCCACAGACTGACTTTGAATGGAGCCAGCCTGTGGCCAGCTTTCAGGTCTAATAAAGAATGAGATCAGTTCAGTGTGCTTAGACCGCTTTCATATTTCATGTTCAAATGAATGGCTTGAGGAGCTTGGAATGACTTACTACTGTGTAGACGTATAGAAAGGCTCGTAGTTACTTTGATCTTAGAAAGAACTGAGACAGATCTCATTGACCTTTTGTGGTTTATGCTGCATTTAATTGTAATGGTTGTCTTTTTTCTGTCGATTTTGAAATCAGTTTCTTTATTGGGTTGCCTTGTCTTTTTTCTTTTTTTTTTGGTCTTTTTTTCCCCTGAAAATATGAAATTGTGTTAGATGTTTTCACTTTTGTGTGACTGTTGCATGTCACTAGTTTTACATAGGATGATAGGATGTCATTCTCATTTGTCTGGTGAGTTTCAGAAATTTACTCTGTGGGCGGTGGATGTTCTATGGTTTGCTTCTTCTTTCTTATCCCTACGTCTATCGTCCTTATCTCTTCTTTGGATGTTACTCACTTTAGTAACATCTCAAATTTTTGTTGCCAGTGCTGTAAAACTCGTACTCAAAAATGTTTTTATGTTCTGTTGTATCTTGGCTCTGTTCCTTTATTTTTTTTACTTACAGTTCGATGATGTATTGGTCTTGTGTCTTTTATTAGAATGGTTTATTAATTTTATGTCTTGTTCCTTGTAGTGTGTGGGTGGTTGGGCGGAGTTTGACGTGGTTTTTGCTCCACTTTTCCCATCGAACATCTCTTCTCCTTTTTTTTTCCTTTTTTTTTTTTGTACGTTATTTTTTAGTAACACTTCTAATCTTCTGCACTAATAAGAGGACCAAATATGTTTCAAGTGGCTTGAAACTTTCACTGAAACCTAACTTTTTTATTTTTGCTTTGACATTTCAGCCAGTTGAGCATCCTCACGGTGGTGGTAACCATCAACATATTGGTAAGGCCTCCACTGTCAGGAGAGATACCTCCGCAGGAAGAAAGGTGAGTCGGTCTGTCAGGTTTTTGTGCGAATTTTACTCTGGTGGGTTGATCTACTGTTTTTGTTGTAACACAGACTTAAATTCCCAGAGACCTCTTTGTCTCTCTCTCTCTTTACCTTTTTTTTTCCTCCCCCAAACCCAAATGATTTGCGAGGATGTAATTCAATTTCTTCACTTTGACCTGAATGTCCGTGTGGAGGCTTTAAAATTCTGAGCAAATTGTTTTAGCTAGCTGTTGTGGGTCCTTGTCAGTTTTGTCAAGAAGCCGGACAAGTACAGCTGTTTGTATAAATTTTAGGTCTTGCACGTGATTGTGTTTGTGTAATCTGAATTTAATCTTCAGCTACAATTAGAAGTTTCTCACAAATGAGGGTCACTTCAGGTGTTTTCAAAAATGCACAACCTGTCAGGAGCGATAGTAATTTTTAGTGGGTGGTTGGTGGGTACTGTGGTACGGTGTGCTCCTTGTAACACCTAATCTTTGGCACTTATATGACCCATTTAGCTGCTAGTGCTGTAAAACGCTTGCTAAGCTAAAAAGCAAAATTTAAAAGAGATCACATTCTAGCTTACACATAGCGAAATTTGCAGGATGTTCCTTGGAGTCTGCTTTAAACTAGTTAGTCTGAAAACAGCAGTTACAAACCGAAGTAATGTAAAATTCCTAGATTTTTTTTCTTTCAAAATGAATTGCGAGGATGTAATTCAATTTCTTCACTTTGACCTGAATGTCCGTGTGGAGGCTTTAAAATTCTGAGCAAATTGTTTTAGCTAGCTGTTGTGGGTCCTTGTTAAGACAGACAAGTACAGCTGTTTGTATAAATTTTAGGTCTTGCATGTCATTGTGTAATGTGAATATAGACTTAGAGTTATAATTGCAAGTTCCCTACAAATTAAATGTTTACTGCAGGTGTTTTCAACAGTGCACAGGTGCTTGTTTGTATGCCTCAAGAGGGATAACAATATTTAGTGGGTGGTTGGTGGGTGTTGTGGTATGGTTTTCTCCTCGTTTTATGTCCAATGAAATGTCTTATCTTGGGGGGGGGGGGGGGGGGTTGCTCGATTGTACACCTAATCTTTGACACTTAGTATGACCTAATGTAAATGTGTTGCAGGAGCTGAAATAAAAGAGAACACTTTCTAGTGTACAATTAGCGAACATGGCAGGATGTGAAAATCTTTTTGCCATGTGCAGTGGAGTCTGCTTAAACAATACAATTAGTCTGAAGACAGCGCTAAACCAAAAGAAAGGAAAATTATCTGATTTTCTCTCATTCCTTTGTCTGTAAGAAAACTGTCGATGAACCAAAATGCTCACATTTCAAAAATTTTAAAAACTGGGACGCTGCCACTGACTGAAGTGTCTTTAGGCCATTCCCAAACGGAGGACATTTCTCATTCTAATGCACTGTAGAATTGTAAATGGGCACCATGTGTACATGCCTAGTGACGCAGGGAAAGTGAATGTACGTCTGTAGTGCGAACTTCAGCTGGTCATTGCTGGTGTTGCCTCTATGAAGGTGGTTCGTATAGGCCCTACACATGAACACATGATGGCTTGTTGTTTGACACCACTACCATTTAGCTTTCTTTATAGATCTACTCTTTGTTTGGTTCTCTTGACTGCGCGTTAGATTAAGCAAGTTGTGATGATGTCAGTGAGAAAGCACGGTTTGAGTCTGCGGCTCAGTTGAAAGTTGCTGAAAGGTAGAGGACAAGAAAAAAACTGCAAGAGTAAAATGTGTCCCAACTGTGACATTCCCGACTCGACGCTGCCAACAATCATCACTATTTGAGCAAGTCTCTTTAGATTGGAAGAAAATAGGATTGTTCGCAGATTATTGTTTATTAGACTGACTCTACTGTATGTTTTAAATACAAACATGTATAAAAGTAGGGGGCCTGAAAATCTGTTCGCTATGTGCCCACTAGACTGTAGCAAGTGAAAGGTTCATGAAGTACAATCTGAATATTTGATGTTCTTTTCCTGTATTTGACATGTTTTTCTTCTCTTTCTCTCTCTTTAGGTTGGTCTTATTGCTGCCCGTCGTACCGGCAGACTCAGAGGTACCAAGCAGATCGCCAAGGACAAAGAATAAGAACTGCGTTATCAGGTTGCTGTCAAATAAAACACATAAATTCCACAAGTTTCTTTGGGTTTTTATTTTTGGTTTTGGTTTTTCCTTGTGGCCATATTTACAGTGCATACAATTGACCATGTGGGTGGTTGTCGGGTGCTCTGGTGTGGTTTGCTTCTTCGTTCCTATCAAACATCTATCGTCCCTATCTCCCCTTTTCTTTTTTTTTTTTACTCTCTTGTAACACATTATCTTCTGGCGCTCTTATGACCTTATGCAGTTGCGAGCGGCGTAAAACCTCTACTAAAAAAACTATTGACCATCGGCGTGCATGTAGTAGTGCAGCAGTCTCCTTATTTAGGGTACGCAGATGTAACCCATTCAGCCACTAGGTTTATATACTTGTATGTTATTTCTTTAGAATGTACATTATTGTACAGGTGGAAACCACCCCATCACCATGAATAAGTCATGAAATATGTCACTTTGAAAAGGGTGAAGACACTTGGAGGTTATGAAAGGATATATGACAGCGTCTGTGGTGTACCTCTCTCTTCTCTCTTGCCCTTTTTTAACTCCCAGTGGAGCACAGGCCATCAACAACATTGCTCCAGCGAAGCCTGTCCTGAGCATCCTTTTCTATCTGTTTTCAATTTCCGCTTGTACCGCTCGCCTCCATGTCATCTTTGGTCTTCCCTTCTTACGCTTTCCTTGTGGGCTGTGGTGTACCAGAAGCTACTCGATTTCGTCCCTGGACGTGCCCATATGTCTCGTATAGGAGGACTGTTTCATAGGCATGAACAAAAGTGTGGTGTTGAGGAAAATGGTCAACTTTTTTTGTTTAACCTCCTCACTGCTGTGTAGATGTACATGTATATGTTACAGTAAGAATACGTACCTAGTGAATACGCGTAATCTCTAAATACAGTGGAACTCGGATTCAACGAGATCAGATAGATTCCCTTTTTTTTTTCTTCTTTAAAATCAATAAAAATAACCTGGATTCAACGAGCACTTAACAGCGAGGTCGCTTCCAGGGTGAACAGCCCTCACAGGCGTGGCTTCGCTCATTTTTCTCCCTGAACGAACTTTACCTATTCCCGGAAACCATCCATTGCACCTGCATCGTGAACCATTACTCACTTAGCATTGCATGCGACCAATCAGCGGCCTTTTTTCTTACCAACACATGCGTTGTTGGCACATGCACGTGTCTACTCTGGCGTGTGTCGGGGTCAGATGGGAGGTCGGCACACGTGTGACTGTGCATGTCGGGGAGGGGGGGTGGCACTAGCGGTCCGGGCGTGGAACGTTGCAGATACAAGCGCGTCAGTCTTTTTTTTCCCACGGCAACTGATCATTATTACAATAAGCTAGTCTTGACGTAGATGTACGTAATGAATTGTGCGCTAGGCTCTACACAGCAACTCAACTTTTGGTAAACAATCGATATGACACAGGCGAGTGCATTTGAACGAATAGGTCTTTTTTTTACACAACTCATAATATGCAGGCATTTGAGGCACTGCTTGTGACTTCTCTTTATATATACTTGCTTAGTGCCCGTAATTATCTACACAAAACCTCATGTTTGCTATAACGAACACTCGGATTCAACGAGATTTTAGGTCAGGCCCGGCGTTGAATCCGAGTTCCACTGTATTTTAGGGAATACACGTAATCCCGGTTTCACTCAGGGGTTTCACGTAATCACTGAAATTTCTAGTGATTACGCGAAATCCCTAAAATTAGACCTATCATTTTACGTCTCCTTACTATTGAGCATTCAGTGAATTTATGTAATATTAATATCCCCGCCACTGTACAGTGACCCAGTTTGGTGTGCTTGTTTTGAACCACAAATACCCGTAGTTATAAGTGAGCTTGTTTTGGTCCAGTACTCACCTAGGAGTTCTCGTCAAGGGGTCAGGTGGATATTATTGACATGTAAAGCATGCAGAGTGGATCCAATAAGAAATGGATCATGGTGTACCAGGATCACTTGACGAAGTTTCGCATCCTTCGAGCCTTGATGTAAAGAGCTGCAGAAGTCGCTTTTCATTTACTGGATATTTTTCTGCTCATTGGTGCACCCGTCATTCTACAAAGCGATAACTCACTTCACAAGTCATCACAGAGTTGAAGGAAGTTTGGTCAAACCTAAAAATGGTGCATGGTAAGTCTTGCCATCCCCAAAGTCAGGGGTCGGTTGAGCGAGCAAATGGTGATATCAAAGATAGCTCTATGCTCGTGGCTTGGATGACTGATTGATCTAATACTAATAATAGCATTTATCATAATATGACGCATATCCACGTCTTAACAGCAAGTTTTATGCGCTTTACTATCTCAACTTCTTGGGAAGTTGAAGCATATGGTGCAAGCTGTCATTTTACAGACGCTGAATCACTAACATACTGACAAGACTTTTCGCTGTCTATGGCCAGGTATCCATTCACACCTGGTTGAAGTGAGGCTAATTCGTGGAAAGTGCCTTTCCCAAGGACACAACATTTGACCTAAGCTTCGGTCCCACGAACCCCCACCTCACGATTATGAGTTCGGCAGCCTAACCACTAGACCGTCGACGCCTCAGCATAATGATATAAAAACTAAACAGATCATTGATATTGAACTACTATTTATTACTATAAGACAGGATGTCTGCCGGAATAGTACATTGTAATAGTATACGGTTATACACATTATATCCATTGAAATACAAAATATTGAGAATAGACCAATCAATAAATTCAATACATGTAATGTAAACGCACACTCGTGGTCCCAAAGAACGATAAAAAAGGTCAACAACAAAAATTATTGCATCATAATTACCAACAAAGAGACAACATCAACAACAATAAAGATCACATTTTAATAATTTTTATTCATACTTTAATTACACGACATTCAGATTACTACTGCGGCCACCACTGCTGCTGCTGCTCCTCCTCCACATTCTCCTCCTCCATTAACAACTACTACTACTACTACTACTACTACTACTACTACTACTACTACTACTACTACTATTACTACTACTATTACTATTACTACTACTACTACTACTACTACTACTACTACTACTGCAACTACTGCTACTAATACTGATGCTACTGCAACTACTACTACTACTGCTGCTACTACTACTACTGCTTCTGCTACTACTACTACTACTTTACTACTACTACTACTACTGCTGCTGCTACTACTACTACTGCAAATACGGCTCTCGCTAACACTATGTTCACTACCTCAGTATTAATGATTAATCCGGTTTGTGAATCCCATCGACGATATGTGACCTCCTTGGTGCAAGGAGTTATCAAAAACTGCTAAATCCAGAAGCGTCAAATTTGGCGTACAGGTGCTTTAACTTAATTTAAGATCTATTCTGGGGATCTAATGTGAGGGAATTGGGAAATATTGGTAAATTGTGGAAATGTTCAATTTTTGTTGTTGCAATATGTGAGGCAGCGTGGTGGAATCAGGCTCTCGTCAAAATAATCAAAGTGGAGAAACTTGTATTTTTCCGCAGGTTTGTGAATTTTTATCAAATTTTTGTTTTTTGGCTCAACACCTTTCATGCCCATTAAAGAACTCATTTCTGTGTGGATTTTTTCTGAAAAACGTTGATTAAAGGCACAAAAAATGTAAATTTCCAGTTACCACGGACTCTTAAGCAAAGGAAATAACTAATTTTTGGGGGCCAATTTCTCACTAATTTTACCTCTGAAAACAAGTGACCCCAACATCGTTCTTTCGCAAATATCTCGACTTGTATTCAAGATAAATGGATATTTTTACATCCACATGAACACAAGTGAACAAGCTTTAAGATGATACCAATAACTCTACATGCCCAAAAATTGACGAGAGCCTGATTCCACCACGCTGCCTCACATATGTACCCCAAAATTTCGTCACGGTCCACTGACTCTCAGGGGTCCATTGGCGTTGGGCTCACTTTTTTATTTTTAAAAATAGGTCAAAATCCTCTCATGGATCCCCAGTTCATATAGGTTTGTACTTGTGTGCCAAATTTCAGATTGATAATTCAATATTGACTATGAAATTCTTCCGCACTAAGAAACTGGTTTGAAAGTCCAAGATGGCCGCCAAAGATACCCATTTTTCAGAAAAAATCAACAAATTCACCCTTAGTAGGCCTACGTCCTATTAACCTATGAACTTCTAGCACAATTACATGAAAGTGAATAAAAGTCCTTCGTTTAGAAAGTTTTTCCGGGAGTGTACGTCTCCCCTTCACCTGTTCCTATGGTTCCTCTGCTCAGTAGAATTGTAAATGGGCTGATTAATGGATGTCATGCTCATAACTGTGCCTGAACTGCAACTGGGAACTGCTGCTTTTTCTTTCCTAATCCTTACTATCGTAATTTTACCTCTAGATCTACTACTTTTGTATGTTTGTCACACTGTTGTGACCCGCTATTTCTATTTCCGGTGGGCCTTGAGTCGAAGCAGACTTTGTGCTGTTGAAGCTAGAGAGGTGAGCAGAGTAAGTCTGATTCCCTGTAAAGACTTCTCTGTTGACATCCACCCCTTGGCGCTCATATGACCTTAGGCAGTTGCGAGCGCAGTGAAACCTCTACTAAAACAAACAAGAAATATCACCATGATTCAGTGTAGATAGATGGATTTTGCATTGTCAATGAGTTGAATAACATGCATGAGTGAAAAAAACTCAGATGTTTAAATTTGTTGATTTTGTTTACACAATTAGACTAGACACCCAGTCACGTCAGACAAAGTCAAATAAATAATGTCTATATTTTATTTGTATCTTTGTACATACATATTCATGATTAATTGTGCTCGTTGGTCTCCTTTGACTTATCCTTGGCGGTTGTTGGAGGGTGCCACAGTAGATCCAATTTGTGGCGGGTGCTCTGGTGTGGTTTGCTCCTTGCTTTCCTATCGAACATCTATCGTCCTTATCTCTCCTCCTCCTTTTTTTTGTGTATGTTACTCTCTTTTAACAATTCTATTCTTCGGCACTTACAAGGTGTCCCGCGCGCTCATATGCAGTTGCGAGCGCCGTA